TGTTTACCTCCTGTGGAGGGGAGTGACCAGGGCTGGAGGAGGTGGAAATCTGCCCCGTGCAGGGCTCTTGGGTTTCACCCTGTTTACTGTGCAGACTTTTTGTCCTGATGGTCTCAAAGCCCCTCTTCCATTGCAGCAACATTTCTCTGCACGGAGCTGCCGCCTCCTCGGCCAGCCCAGCTCTGTGCTGGAGCGCAGATGTCAAGATACAGAGGAGTTGTGTGTTAAGAGTAATAAATAAAGGTTCTCCAGATGGTCATATGTCAGGTCACTCGATCCCACCTGCTGCTCCTGTGCTGCTGGAGCAGCATATTAAGTGCAGGAAAGGATAGAACAAGGAGAAAAGCAAATTGAACAGTATGGCTCGAGTCTCCTCCTGGTTAACCGCAGTGTCCCGGGAGTCTTCAGGTGGGATGAACAGGCTGGCACATTGTGTTCCTTATTCCTGGGAACTGTGTTTTCCCTTCCTGGCTCCATTTAAGGGCAGGTGCTTTGGTGTGGGGGTACAGACCTGCCACCCCTGAGCCCCATCTCACCCCAGGGGTGCTCTGGGTGGTGGGAGATGGGGACAGCAGTTTGCCTTTGGTACAGCTGCAGCAGGCACAGCTGAGCCCTGGGGACAATCGATGGCATTTCGGTGATATTTAGGAGAGGGAGAAGCAGAGGAAACAACAACAGGAAGACAGTTTAGTGTAGCCTCTTCCTTGCCAAAGCTGGCTGCCTTCCCAGCTCCGGCAAAGGAGCAAAACGGGAGAGGCTGGAGGTACTTCAGAAAGATGTCGGATATCTGGCACTCTCTCGTAAGCTCACCTCCAAAACTGAAAGCACCCAGGGCCCACAGCAGGTGCCAGGAGAGAAAGTTATTGCTTCTCTCCTTCTGAGCAGCCTGTTGTCTGCCCCACTAGCACTGGGGTACCCAGTACTCAGCCTTGCATTACTGGGGCTGGCAGTTCATCCTCTGTCCAGGGAAATGGTGAATGAATGGGAAAGGAGGGGGGAAATACACCCCGAGGTTGGTTGGGCACGGCTAGGGGTGCAGACAGATCTCCCCTGCAGCCAGCTCAGCTTCCTCCTTCCCTCACAGAGCCGTGGTGAGGGCAGGAGGATGCTGGTTTGCCTCTGCAGAGGCCTCTCCCGGTCCCTTGGCTCTCCTGCCTGGCCACAGGCAGTGTGAAATCACCACCTTTGCATGCCCTGCTCTCGATTTACTGAAATGCCCGAGAGCTCCCTCTTCCCTCCCGGGTGCCTCAAAGCAGAGCCAGAGTGCGGCGCTGAGGCGGGAGGGTTTGTTTGCATTTTCAGGGAAACCTGTTAATAAAGGAGACCAAAGGGACTGCTCTTTTCCTGGCTGCGGGAACAGATGGCTGGATAACGCAGTGCAATTAATATGCAGGGAGTCCTGCCGGGGCAGGGATTTGATTGCCTGTTAGGAGAGGTTACAACGCTCGAGCTGAGCTCTGCCACTGCTCTGCCTGTCCCTGACACCTGCTGCCTGCAGGGGCTCCGTGGGGACTCTGGGACAGATTGGATGGGGTCATGGAGGAGGCTGCGGGCACTGGTCATGGGGAAGGATGCAGCTGGGGTGAGGTCTCTGGGACAGCAGCAGGTCTCTGCTTCTCCCACCCTGGGTGATGCTCAGGGAGGGCTGCCCTTTGGGTTTGTAAAAGCAAAGGCTGGGTCTGGCAGTGAACAGCTGCCTGGAGGTACTTCCAGGCTCATTCTTTCCTCCCATACTTGCTTCTCCTCTGAGTCTGGAGGTTCCAAGGAAGCAGGAAGTGGCAGATCCTTGATGATCCAAGGGAGGCACGTGCTGGGACATGGAAGGTCTCCTCGCCACAGCACAGGTACAGAGTGTTTCCCAGGGCTTCAAAGAGTGACTGGACAAATTCATGAGGAAGAAAACCCGCCTGCCGAGAGACAGGAGGGTTAGGAAGCCCTTGGGGAGAGCAGGAGACCCAGCAAACCCACCCCAGCACTGAGCAGGGCCACGTGGCCATGAGGTCAATCCCGAATCGATGGGAGCCTCCAGCCGCCGGCCCCGATCGAACGGCCCAAGGTCACCCCGGGTGTGCTGGGGCTGCTCCTGTGCCCCGTCCCCATCGCACCCTGGGCTCTCCCCTTCCCCTTCATGTCTTTGCTTTGCCCCCCCACCATTTTCTGGCGTTTCCTTCCTCCCACTGCCCTGTCAGTGTTGCTGAGCACCACCAAAGCCAGCGCCAGGCTTTGATCAGGGGCTCCTGCCTGCACCGTGCCAGCAGCACATTCCCGCCCGGCACCGCCGTTCCTGGCCGCCCTTTCTTCTGCGTCAGGAGGCGGCTGGTGGAGATGTCGAACCTCAGCGCGAATCCTTGCAATTAGGCCTGTTCCGCTGCCTGCCTCGTTTGATCTCCTTTAATTATTTATCACCTTTATTTTTTTCTCCTTCCCAAATCCTCGGTTTCTTTCAAGTGATGATTTTCCCCCTCTTCCCCCCAGCCGTGGCTGGCTCTGTCTGTTTGCTTGCAATTACCGACCCTTCTCCCACTCCTTCCATCTCTCCCCTTTTGTTCTCCACCAGATCGACCCTTCATGACGCTCTCCCAGCTTCACCCCTCAGCTCCCTGCCTGCCTGGCAGCTTTTCCTTCTTGCTTTCCTCCATTTTTTCCCACCCAGATGGCTGTTGCCTTTCTCCATCCTGTTCCAGGTGTGGTTCTGGCTGTGTTTGCTGCCAGTGCCAGCTCTCTGGCTGGGATCCTACACCCTGGGCTGGGTTAAACTCCGATCTCCCACTGCTGCTCTCCCAGGCTGCTGCCCAAAACCTGATGTGGTCCTGCTACAAAGCCCTGGCTCCTGGCCAAGCCCAGGGAGCCCCATGGGCCTTCTGCCCCTCCCCATGCCAGGGTCTCCCTGTGCTGCTTTTGCATTCCTCATCTTCTTTGTTTCCCAAGACCTGATGCATTATTCAGCGCTGCGGACTCTGCGGGTGTTGGGAAGATAATGGTGCTGCAAAGGGCACAGGCTCACCCTGGGGATGCTGGATTTTCCTGTCACGGGCTGTTTTCCCCCTCCAACATTAAACCAGGAATAGCCATGACCATGCAGGAGGTTTCTCCTAGGAGGTGGCATCTGCTGTGACCCTGGGGAGCATGGCAGGCACAAAGGCAGGAGCACAGGGAGGCAGCAGCATCCCTGGGGACGCTTCAAAGGCTGCACCTCATCTCCCAAACCCAGCCCCACTGCTCCGCTGAAGTTTATAGAGACACGGATCCAACACATGGCCACTTGTTTATGTAGTCCCTGCATGGATAACAGATGTGGGACACAGGTTTTGCACAGCAGACAGTAGGAAACAACCCCATAAGGCTGTTAAATCCTCGTGGAAAGAGGATGCTCACGCCCTTCACCCCATTCACAGCTGGGCACTGTGTCCCCCCTAGTTGGACCTGTCCCCATGGCCTGCTGCCACCTTTACCCAAGGGGATCCCCATGGGGAGAAAGGTGAGGGATGGAGTGATTTTGGGCTGGTGCTGGTGAGCCATGCTGCTGGCAGCAGTCTGGTCCCCAGGCCAGTCCTCCCTCAGAGAGCAGAGCAGGGACATCCCCACCTGGACAGGTCTCTTGAGCCTCGGCTGAGCCCAGAATCTCCCCTTACACCCCAGCTCTGGCTCCCCATCCCTGTCTCCTCAGCAGCTCCCCCCCTCAAATCCCCGCTCTGAGGCCAAACCCCCCGTGGAGTGGCAGCAGGGTGCCTTTGGGAACCAGCAGCCAAATCCAGGAGGGATCCAGGTGGTCCCAGAGGAAGCACTGCCCAGGCAGTGCAGGGGAAACTGAGCTATGGGATGGGGGCACTGGGGGGACCAGGTGTCCCAGTCAGGTGTGTTCAGTGTCCCTGGCAGAGCAGTTGGGGTGGTTTCAGGGTGTTTAGGGGGGCTAAACCCTTGCCCTGGCCACACTGGGCAGATTTGGGGGTTTGGGGTAGTTTGGGAGCTTCATCCCTTCCTGGCCAGCAAGGAAGGGAAATGCTCAGCATTGCTGAAGGAAATGAGAATTAATTAATTAATTAATAGCACCAGCTCCTTTCCTGTGTCACAGTGCCAGGGAATGTCCCCAATGGGGACCTGGCACCTCCTGCATCACCCCGCACACTCCAGGCAGCCCAAAATCCCCCAACACCAGCAGGGATGGGTGTGTTCCAGGTAGTCCCAGGCATTGCTGGTGAATCAGCTGGGAACTGGGAGGCTGTGGGAAGCACTGGGGGCAAGTGGGGCACCACGGTGAGGAGCTAAGGGGTGGGAGGAAATTCAGAGCGGGATACGGGCTGAGGTGTGATTCAGGGTAGGATATGGGGTGGAATACAAGGTGGGATATGGGGTAGGGTGAGCTGGGTTACAAAGTGGGATATAGGACCAGGTGTCTCCTGCAATGCCGGGTGTCCCCAGCAGGGCCAGGTGTCCCCCTTTAAGGCAGGGTGTCCCCTTTAGGGCCGGGTGTCCCCTTTAGGGCCGGGTGTCCCCCTTTAGGGTCGGGTGTCCCCTTTAAGGCCGGGTGTCCCCAGCAGGGCCGGGTGTCCCCTTTAGGGCCGGGTGTCCCCTTTAAGACCGGGTGTCCCCCTTTAGGGCCGGGTGTCCCCAGCAGGGCCGGGTGTCCCCAGCAGGGCCGGGTGTCCCCCTGTGGGGCCGGGTGTCCCCCTTTAGGGCCGGGTGCCCCCTTTAAGGCCGGCTGTCCCCAGCATGGCCGGGTGTCCCCCTTTAAAGCCGGGTGTCCCCTTTAAGGCCGGGTGTCCCCAGCAGGGCCGGGTGTCCCCAGCAGGGCCGGGTGTCCCCTTTAAGACCAGGTGTCCCCAGCAGGGCCGGGTGTCCCCTTTAGGGCCGGGTGTCCCCAGCAGGGTCGGGTGTCCCCTCTCGGCGCTGCCCCCGCCGCAGTGGCGCCCTCCGGCCGTGCGGCGGCGCTGTGCCCCGCGCGGTGCGCGCAGGCGGCGGCGCTCTGTGTCGGGCGGCTCCGCTGCCGGAGCTGTCCAGCACTTCAGCAGGGGCCGCGCCGGAGGGGCCGCGACCGCCGCGCCCCACCCCGCGCCCACCGGCACCCCCGGCAACCCCCGGCACCCCCGGCGCCGCCAGGGACCCTCCTGGGGCCGGGCCCAGCGGGGCGGCAGGGCGAGGTGAGGCGCGGCCGGGCCCGGGGCTGCAGGGCCGGCACAGGGCGGGGGGGCTGGCAGGGAGGGAAGGGGCGTGAGGGGCGGTGGGACCCCGCTGGGCACGGGGAACGCTGAGAGGGGCGGGTGTGGGGGAAAGGATTTACCCCCAGTCGGGTGATGCTCGCCGCGGGCAGGGGAGTGAGGACCCCCAGGGATGGGGACTGGGGGTGGGCTGCTCCTGAGGGGGTGGGAATTGGGGTGCCCCAAAGGGGCACGGGTGGGCGGGATGGGTGAGGGGTGCAGCGCCCCGTGGGTGCTGGGGCAGTGGGGACCCCACGGGGAGGAGGGTAACAGTGGCGTCCCCCCGCGGGGTTCGATGCTTTAGGTGGGTCCAAGCTGGTGTCAGGAGCCTGGAGATGAGATGCTTTTATGGGGCATGGGGGGTCCCTCCAGGGGCGTGGATGTGCCGGGTGCTCCCCGGTGCTGCGGGGTGGCTGGGGGGCACACACAGCCCTCTCCTCCATGTGGGGAGACACGCTGGGGTGGGGACAGGGGGTGACCCCCAGCAGTGGGGTTTTGTCTGGGAAGGACAGGACAGTGATGAGCCCCCAGCAGGTGCTGGTGCCTCGTGCGGTGCAGGTGGGGGATGAGGCCGAGAAAACGGCCCCAAAGCCCCTCTCTCTGCAGCGTGGACCCCCAGGCTGTGCTGGGGAGGGTTTGGCTGATGAGATTTCAAACCCTGCGGGTGTTGTGTGGGGGAAGGAGAGGGGCAAGGCTTGGCAGGGGGAATCCCGGCAGCAGCCCAGCCACTGGTCTTTTGGGAGCGTTTTGTGCTTCTCCTTCCCGGGACGGGGAGGTTTGTCCCCAGGGATGGCCCTGCATGGGGCTGGTGGAGAGAGGTCGGGGCACGGCTCAGGTGGCTTTCAGGAGGCACAAGTTCATCCATCCCATCCGGAGAGAAATTTCAGACTGGTTGTGTCACTTCCCTGCACTCCTGCTGCTGAAGGGGGCTCACCTGGGAGCTGGCAGCATTTGGGGGTGTCTCAGGTTGATGACAAATGTCAGCGACCTTCCCTGAGGGTGCAGGTGATTGTGTCCTGGCTGGTCTTCCTGCCCTGGCACGTGAGTTTGCCACTGGCAGGAGCACAGGGACACCCCCACTGGGGAGGATTTTGGGGACAGGAGCTCAACAGTGCTTGTGCCCAAACACATTGTCATCTCTCTGTCCCCCTCTGCCAGTGTGTCCTCACAGAATGCCACCCCCTGTGTCTCACCTGCCTCCCCCCTAAATCCCCTCTGGATCCCCTCTGCATTCCACCTGCCTTCCCCTGCCCCAGGACTCATCTTGGCAGCACAAGGAGGGACAGGTGGGGGGATTTCAGTACCAGAAGTTGGGCAAATTTTAAGGGAGCCTTTGGTCCTTGGTTGCTACTGGGGATGGTGAGCAGAGGGCTTTACCAGGAAGGCAGAAGAGCACAGGGCTCTTGGTTGGTTTTGTCCCTGGTGCCAAGAAAACGACGTTTTCCCTGTGGACAAAGGGTCTTGTGCCCTGGGGGGCAGACCCAGTCGTGGGTGGATGTGTGGCAGCAGGTCCTGGGAGGCTGCTGGAAGGGGGAGCAGAGGGTGCCCACCCCACACCTCTTGGCAGGGGTGCCTGTGGGGTGCAGGTTTAGTCCTGGCTGCTGGGGGTCTGCCGGATGTGGGGGGTCCCCAGTCCCCAAAGCCCTTCCTCCTCCTCCTCCTCCTCCTCCTCCTCCTCTTCTTCCCCATCTCCCAGCTCCCGTTTTCCCCGGCCAGGTGGCCCGTGGCTTATATAATGTGCTCAAACCCCGGAATAGCTCCTCCCGTTACACAACCACCCAGCCAGCCATGGTGGGGGTGGGGTGGTGGGGATTCCCAGCTGGATGCTCCCCCTGCACTGGCCATGACCCCCCTGCACCTGCAGCACTCGGCCCCAGGGTCGTTTGCCAGGGTTGTGTCCCCGTTGGGGAAGGTGACCTCATTGTGACAGTCATCCCCCTGCTCCTCCATGTGCTCAATAATTTCTTTTATCCGTAGTAGTTTTATTACTCCCCCCCCTCCCCAGAGTGGTGTTGGGCCTTGGAGCTGCCTGTGCCTCCTCCTGACTCCTCCACCCAGCAAAGAAGTAGCCCTAAGGATGCAAAACCTGAGGGGTGGCTGTTCTTCTCCATCTTCATTCCTTGTTTATCCACCTCTGGGTTGGGAAAGGTCTGGCAGGGCATCCCCAAGGGGTTGAGGAGAGTGTGGCCAGAGAGTCAAGGGGCTGGGGGGGATCTCATAGAGTTACCCATCACCTGGACCTGCTGCCTCTCCACTCAGCATGAGGGGATTGCTGCCGTCACGTGGATGTGCTCCTCCTTTCCCTCATCCCTGGCTCAGGAATGGGGTCACTGCAGGGGTCCTGGGGTTGGTCTCCTTTCCCATCAGCTCTTCTCCAGCCAGAGCTGAGAGCAAAGCTTGCTTGGCCTCCCTTGGGAGTCCAAGGGGTTCAGGTTGGGGGGGCAGTTTGGTATTGTTGGGGTCAGGAGTAAATCCCAGCTCCTCACCCCCTGTCGTGCCCTTTACTCTGGAGCACCTCCAGCGGAGCTGATGGATCTCTGTGCTCACACCCCTCTGTGGTGCTTGTCCGGTGTGGGGCCTGTCCCCACCCCTGGCTCCCCCATCCCTACATCCCCAAGCCAGGAAGGAGCCCGGTTGCTTAGCAACTGTTTAGCTTCTCCACCAGCCTCCTCATCTATTTTAAAATATATATATATATATATCTGCACAGACGTAGGTATGCACAGGCAGCCGCAGCTCCTGACCCCCCAGCCAGCATCCATATATTCTTTATTAATTACTTTAAAGTCTGTGAGCTGTCCAATTTTTGGCTGGGCAGCCATAGGAAAGGATCTCCTCTGCTCGAGGAAATAGGGATGGAGCTGCTGGGATCAACTGTCACCAACCCCTTCCTGCTGCCCCTTTCCATGGGCACAGGATCCCTGTGGCTTGGGGCTGGAGGGCAGCGCTAACGAGCCCCAGGTCGGCCGCGCTTTTAAAGCCAGATTTGCCTTTTTTCCTCATTCTTGAAGGCCTGACTCATGGTTTTTGGCACTGGAACGCAGCTCCGGAGAAGGTCAGCCCAATTAATGGCAGCAGCTCTGGACTTTTCCTCCTTGTAATTCCAGCCGGGTGTTTAGAGGAGGCCGACTGCCTGGCGGTGGTGTTCTGGCATGTTTTGTGTCCTGAAAAAAGAGACCTTCTCCCAGCTGTCCCCACGGCACGGGCAGGGAGCAGCCTGGGATGGAGCTCTAACTGATTCGGGGACAGGGTTGTGATTTGATCAGTGGTGGTGTGTCCTGATGAGATCCTGGCGGGCAGGAGGAACTACGGGGATCGCCCCTCTCACCCTCTCTGGAGCGGCTGGAGGGTCCTCACCTCATTTGGGCTGGCCCTGGCGTGTTGAGACTGAGCTCTGGCACACTCAGTGCACGAGTGGTCCAGGGAGCCGCCGTCCTGGGCTCGCCGCCCGCATCCCGTGCCCGCATCCCGGCACGCGGGTGCTCGCGGCCGCCCTGCCTGGTGCAGCTGGATGTGGCGAGAATTAATGGAGCACCGGCCGGAGGCGGCTTTAATTAGCGCCGAGGCACGGCGAGGGGGGAAGGATGCCCGGGGACCGCTGCCGCCTTTCCCCGCCGAGGGAGAGACGCCGGGAGAGCATCCAGGCACCCGGGAGAGCATCCAGGCACTGCCAGCCCCCCGCTGCCAGCCCTGCTCCCCCCGGGAGAGCGGCTCCATCCGCATTACAGCGGCAGGGCCCTGCGGCGGCTGCTGCCTCAGCGCCGGGGGGCTGTGGGCATGGCCGGGGGGCTGAGCAGGGCCCACGGGGGGGATTTGAGCACAGCCGGCTGGGAAGGGGCTTGTTCTGGCCTGGGAAATAAAAGGGCCAAAGCAGTTCAGTGAGATAACACACTTTTTTTTGCTCGTTTTCCTTGTTTTCTTATTTTCCTTCGGGATGGAGCTCCTGAACTCCTGAGCTGGACAAAGCCCCACGTGGGGCAACCCCAGGGCTGGGACATGGGGACAAACACAACCCAGTGCCACCTCACCAGGTGCCTGGGGGTCCCAGCACACTTGGATGGAAACCAGCAGCCCCAAATCATGGCAGGATGGAGAGACTGGGCCTTCCTTGCACCCTTGGCTGGCAGGGCCTGTCCTGGTTTTGTGACAGGGGCACAGCATGGTCTGTCTGTCCTTTGTCTGTCCTGGCAATCACTAAGATGGCACTGCAGGTGCCCGTGTCCTCACACGCTTTGGATATGATTCAGCATGGCTGGGAAGGGAGGGAGAGACCTGGCATGGTGGTGGAGGGTGAAGAGGATGGTAAATAGGGATGAGGATGGAGGATGAAGATGGAGATGGAAATTGGGGCTGGGCGATGGAGATGGTGGCTGGGGATGGTGAGGAGGAAGGAGATGAGGAGGAGCATGGAGGATGAGTATGAACATGGAGATTGGGGATAAGAGTGAAGATAGGGATGGAGGATGAGTATGGGGGATGGGGCACCTCTGAACATTTCCAAAAGCTCTGATCCAGGCAGCAGGAAGTACCTGTGAGCTGAAAAGCTGTTTTGACCTCCCCAAGGCCCAAGGTGGCACGTGGGAGGAGGATCAGGATCCCAAAACATGTGGTGAACGGCTTGTTAATATGGGAAGAGAGGGATTTTCTCAGGAGTTTCCCTAGCAGCTCCAGCCCATGGTACCAGGGGGTTTGGGCCCTCCTGGGTGGCAGTAAGGGCATTTGGGAAGTGGGGATGGATGCCAGAGACTGTCCCCAGCTGCATTCTGCAGCCCTTAGGAGTCCATGGAGACACAGCACTGGCCCCAAGACACCTCCTGTCCCTCTGGGCGAGGCGGCCTGGCAGCAGCTGCCAGTGATTGATGTTTTGTGGGTAATTACTGCAGATAATTAAATATTTAACCATCATCTTTATTATCGGGGTAGTGCCGAGCCAGACAGGAAACCGCTGCCGTTTGGGCAGGGCCGTGCCGGTGGGTTTGGGGCTGGCAGAACCGGGTGGTCCCTGTGTGGTGGCTGATGGATTCAGGCTGTGGTGGTGGTGGTGGCTCTGTGTCCCTGAGCTGTCCCTTGCAGGTGCAAGGCATCTCTGAGGTCCTCCTTTGGGGATAGGGAGGGCACAGACCCACCTTGGGGGACATAGGTTCCCTCTGTCCTGGTGTCTTGTCCCCATTGTCACCAGAGGTGTACGACTGGCTCTGTTTACCACCCAAGGTGGCCCTTGTTGAGATCTGGGGGGGTTGTGGGTGGTTTTCCCATTCCTTTGTTTTCCTGCCCGTGCTGTGGCTGAGGCAGGGGGTTGGTGTGAGCTCTCGAAGTGGATATTGCTCACAGCTGAGGAGACACCAGGTTGCAACACCGTGTCCATCCCCAGTCCGGCTCCTCCTTCCTGGCCACAGTTGCAGGGGGGAATTCTCCAGCCACATCCTTTCCATGGAGCGTTTCCCGGCAGATCCGCATGCTTCCCCCACCATGCAGCCCTCTCCCACAGGTACCCATCCAGCTGCTGGTTTATCTTCATCTACCTCTCCAGCTCTCTATCTGACACTCTCTCAAGGTTTCTCAGCAATGAATTTATCCACTGCTGGGCTCAGGATAAAATTAATTCCCACCGGGAAAAAGCAAGCAGAGGCTGCTGCGGAAAGCAGCCTCTCCTTCCCTGAGCCCCTCTGTGGGGGGAAGGTTTCTCAGTGGGGACCCTACCCCATTCCTTAATTTCCTTCCTGGTTTTTGGCTCCATTTCCTGATGAAAGAAAGAGGAAGAGAAACCCCCAAGCTGTTGTGTTTTTTGTTTTGTTTTTTTTTTCCTGCAGCATCTCTCCCTTCTCTGTCCCAGGGCCACCCTGGGTTATGGAATGGTTTTGGATCAGGGGTCCCCCATGGGCAAGGAGGGCTGAGCAGGGCAGCTCTTTGTTGTGGGGCTCGATATGTGGGTGCTGCAGGCAAAGGGAGACCGAGGGACCTTCCAGTTGCTCTAACAGGGACAAGCATCCAGGGATTGCAGAGCCCTGGCTGGCTCCTGCTGCACCAGCAGGATCTCCCCGGTGCCTCTGCAGAAATAAAGGCTGCTGGCTCCCTCTGTATGGTAGCGATGGAGAAAAAATAAAAGGAAAAAAAGCCTTGTAATTAAGCACTCAGCTGCTGTCCTCCCTGGGCAGGCTTGTCAGGAGATAAATGACTGTGTGGGGCAGCCAGTGGCAAAGGGAAAGCCAGGGATGTCCCTTGGAAATGCCACAGGGTGGGAGTTACCTTCCAGCCAGGCTGGGACCTCCACCACCCAGGGGAGGACTCTGAGGCTTTTTCTCTCCTCAAACAACAGAGAAACATCCTCAAAGCCCCTCACAAGCAATCTGTGTTCCCACCCTGGCTCTGTCCCACCTGGCATGGCCATGGAAAGCTCTGAACAACCTGGTGTCCTGCTGGAATGGCACAGCAGGAGCAGTGAGCCCTCCCTGGGCTCAAAACGGTGTGAATCTGTCCATGGTCCATCTGTCCTCCCTGCATGCCTGTGCTGGGCTGAGGGATCCCTCCTTCCCATCCTTCTTGGGCAGTGTGTCAGGGTTGGCTGCTTGCCACGGAGGAGACAATGTGCAGGCAACACCCATCCTTGGAAAAGCCTCTCCAGCAAGATCCCTGGGAGAGAAACACCCCAGAGAAGCAGCTACTGGCAAAAGCTGCTTCTCCAAGCCCAAGTCCAGCTTGGAGAGCGAGGCAGGATGCTCTGCCTTCGCTCCTGATCGTTTCTCTTTGTGTAGGGCTTTTGCAGGAGGTTTGTGGGCCCAGGTGGTGCCTCTGCAGCCGGGCCATGCTGGTAATTCAGGCAGCAAATCTTCAGTGGGATCATCCCATGCTGGGAAGAGGGCTGGAGCACTGGGCCGGGGAGCCAGGGCACGGCAGGACAAGGAGAGTGAGGAATGGGTGCTCAGCCACGTGCCGATGGCCCGAGGGCACTGAGACAGGGTTGTGTCTGGTTGATCCAGGAGTTTTGGGAGCATCTCCTCCCCCAGGCTTGGGGAGCATCAGCCAGAGCCTTGGCACGGCAGTGCTGATTGGGAACGGTTGTCCTCTTCCAGGGGGTTATTTTTGGAGCCAAGTGAGGACACATTGACTGTGGTGGGGGAAGGAGGAGGCAGAGACACGTGAAAGTGAAGGAGCAGGGAGAAGGCAGGCGGGCAGAGGCTGGTGGGGATCCTCTCCCCTTGCAGCTGGCACCTGGCCACAGTGGAGGGTGCCAGGTCATGGGCAGAGGGTGCCAGGCCATGGCCCGAGGGCATCAGCAGGCATTCGCTGACTGGGCCAGACATCAGGATGTCCCATGTCTGCATCCGAACCAGCCAGTGCAGCTGGAGAATGCAAGGGGATATCTGAGGCCTTTGGGTCCTTTCCTTTGCTGAGTGGGGACAGTGCCTGGGGTGTCCCCGGAGAGCTGTGAGGATGGATGCCTATCCCTGCTCCAAACCCACAGTGGCTGACAGTGGGATCCATGGGGCTCGGAATGACCCCTGCCCACCTGTCCTGCTGCTGCTGTATAGTCCTGGGCCCCACAGTTTGCCAGGTTTTTTCCATACAAGTCTGGCAGAGCATCTTCCTCTCCCATAAGCCAGCCCTCTTGGCATGGTGATGGGAGTAACCCCAGCCTTGCTTTGTGGATGAGGAAACTGAGGCAAGGCACAGGAAGATCTCCCAGTCACTGTCCCCACCAACCTGCTTTTGAGACAAATTTTGCCTTCATGTCCTGGCAGGGTCCCCTTGCCCTCGTAGGATGGGAACCAAGGCAAGGACTGACCCCCGACTCTTTCTCTCCCTCCCAGGCAACCATGGCTCTCTACAACAATGGGGCTGATGTGCCTTCGCCCCAGGAAGCTTCCAACGGCTTCTCCCAGCCCGGCGCCTCCGGAACGTGGCACAAGGGTGAGGAGGAGGTGCGTCTGGTGGAGCCCAGCATGGTGAAGAAGGCTCACCGGGAAATCCTGGACCACGAGCGCAAGCGGCGGGTGGAGCTGAAGTGCATGGAGCTGCAGGAGATGATGGAGGAGCAGGGGTGAGTGGCGAGGGAATTGGGAATGGGGTCCTTTTAACCCACCTGCACCTTGTGCTTCCCCTTAAAAAAAAACAAAACACCTCGATGTGGCAAATGTCCCCATTTGGAAGTAAATCCACTTTTGGGTGAATCAAACAGCTTTGGAGTGAGCTGGTGGGTTGGTGTGTGGAGGAAAATGCCTCCAAGAAACTCAGTCCTACGAGTGCAACCACACACGTTGGAGGTTGGCCCCTCTGCTTGGAAATCTGGGCTCCCAGCTTGTCAGGCAGGGAAAGCTGGGGCAGGAAGGAGGAGCAAAGGGGCTGTAGAACATCCCTGCCTGGGTGGGTGGGAGAGGTTGGGGGGCCAGTGAGGACACCCCCATCCCTACCAGATGGAACCATGGCTGTGCTGCTGGCTGCCCCACAGCTCCAGCACCAGCCAAACATCCTGATCCCCCTGACAACTCGCTAAAACCCGATGGATGGAGTAAATTCTTTGGCACACGTGGGTAGACGGGGACCGGTACCAGCTGGGGAGAAGGAAAATGGATTGAGGGAAGGCTTCGCCAAGGCTTTCATTAAGAGTGCAAGCGTGACCTAGAATTAAATTGTCTCACACTGACTGGAATAATGATTGTGCCTAATTTGTCATTATGGAAATAAATAAGGCTGACCTGGCACTTTGGGGAGCCCAGAGCCTCCTGTTGGGTTCCCGTGCCCTACTAGGGCTCTTACTACTGGTAGTATCATTACTGCAGTGGGTAAGAGCAACGCTGCAACTGGTATTGTTGTTATTGCTGTAATTGCTTTGCTGTTATTAAGGCTATTAATAACGATGATGGTGGCGATACGCCGGAATGATAACGTAATTACAGTAATAATCTTGGTCAACCTGGTTAATCCTCTCCCTGCTCTTCCCCTCCGCACAGGGGTTCTCCGGGAGGGTTCCATGGGAAGCGCTCTGCACTCCTCAATGTTTCTGTCTGGCCTGGGGGCTGCATCCTGAGCGTGGCTTAGGGGAAGCTGTTGACAGGGGCAGGGCCCCTGAGATGGATGTGAGTGTCAGCAGAGGGGGTTTTGCAGGGTTTTAAGCACTCCCTTGTTTCCTTAAAGCTGGATGGCTCCTCCTGCCTGTGCTGCAGCTCGCTCCAGGCTGCCTGCACCGTTATTCCCTGCCTGCAGGCTGGATTCCTTGTCCGGAAAAGAAGTGTCAGCATTTTTTCTTTCTTTCCCAAACCCACTCTATATGTTAAATGCAAAAGCAAAACCCCTCCAGTGGGGTTATAAGCAGCACCAGAGGAATGCAGGAGGGAAGGAGCTGGAGGTGCTGGGGGGTGCCTCGCCCTGGCCTCCCCCCGCAGATTTGCTAAAGGCCCAGCCATGGTGGCCCATCTGTCACCTCCTGTTTGGCCTCATGTCCCCTCTCTGAGAGCATCAGCCGCATTCTTAATATGCTGCAGCAAATACCCATCCCAGGCAGACATGTTCCTGCTGCCATGGGCCGGCTGATGTCCGTGGGATGTCCGTGGGATGGCCAGGACTGGCAGCTCTGTCCTTGCGGGGTGACCACACCCTGCCCAGCTGGGTGCACTGCCATCGAGGCTATGGGGCAGAGCAGTATCTGGGGGTGCTATTCTGTTTTTCAGGCCCCCCATGCCCAGGTAAAGGTGAGGGGAAGCAGCCAGGCTGCCTCCATGCCCTGTTAGCAGCCCTCCTCCTGCGTGGAGTCCGGCTGGGCAATTAATGAGAGCCTTTCAGCGCAAATGAGCTCGTTAATATTAATTCCCCTCTTTTCTCTGTTCCCCTTCATGGGCACTGAAGAGGGGGTGAGTGATGCCACATGCCTCTCTGCACCCAGGGCACCCAAGGGCACCCCCAGCACTGTGGGGGACATTACTGTCCCCAGCATGGGCACTTTGAGGTGCCAGCCTTGGGGACCAGAGAGCTTGGCCAGGCTGTGACACCTGGTGTTCTGGGCTTGTAGCAGCAATACTGATGGGATGTGATGGCAAGGGTGGGTCACAACAGCCCCTGTAGAGGGGTGAGAACAGGGACACACACAGAGCCTGAGGGTCCCTCTCTCTTTGCCCTGTCCTCAGGGATGATGCCAGGAGCATCATGGGTCTCTCCACCACGTCCCTCCATTGGGATGTTTTTAGTTGAGGAGGTTGGGGTGTTTATAGTCAAGGAGGATGCTCAGGTGCCCTTGTGCGGCCACGGGATGCTGCACAGGACCACCCGCCCAGGGCTGTCACCTATCCCTTCCCAGGGACACCATGGGGACGACTGGAGTGCCGTGCTTTGCCGCGGCTGTTCCCACATGCCAGGGACAAAGTGATTAGTGCCTCTCGTTAATAAGCCTGCAGCGGCCTGAGTCAGCGTTCGGCGTTAGTGCAGAGCTGGCTCGGCTGCCGGGCCCTGGCGCAGCACAGGGATGAGAGAGGGAAACTCATGGTGGGATGGAGATCCTGGGATTGAACCCCTGACACTGCCGAGAGGGTTTGGCAGGATGTGCCCCAAAGCCTGGGACGCTGATGGGGAATGGCAACCTCATGGTCATTCTTTTGTTTTACCCCTTTCTGACGTCCCTTCCTCTGCCAAGCGCTTCTGGGAGGGGCAGGCAGGAGAGAGGAGGGCACAGAGGGTGGTGGCATGGGGTCACACAGAGGTCCTGCTCTCCTCCAAGCCCTGATGACTGGCACCATGCCACATTTCCTTCTGACCAGCCCTCTGGGCCAAGTGTCACTCCCAAGTGACAAAGGTATGGAGGTCACCAGCAGCTCCGTGGGGAGCCCACGCTCCAGCCATGGCAGCCCTGACCATGTCTTTGCCCATCCAGGTACTCCGAAGAGGAGATCCGGCAGAAAGTGGGGACCTTTCGGCAAATGCTGATGGAGAAGGAAGGTGTGCTCACCAGGGAGGACCAGCATGGGCGCCAAATGTAAGTGAGGCAGCTCCCAGTTGGCCCCTCTGTGTGTCCTGCCTGTCTCTCATCCCAGAGAGGCCTCTACTGGGTGGCAATGGCTTGTCAGGTTAGCTGATGTTGTGTAACCTAGAAATATTAGTGTTATCAGTAATAGGTAATAATAGTGATAATAATTTCTGTTGCAACAGGCCCAGGCTGGACAGGCAGGGCTGAGCCTGCTTCTCCTCTGGACAGACCCAGGGCCTGTGTCTCCATCAGGCTGGTGTATCCCCAAGAAACCCCATGGAAGAAGCTTCTCCAAGTTGCTCCTGCCTTGTTCCTCTGCCTTCTAATCACTCCTCATGCTGCCAGGCCCTGAGCGGAGGTTTGGAGCTCAGGTTTAGGGTCCAAAGCAGCCCAGCTGCTGCTGGGAATGTGCCAGTTGCTCCTCCTGCCCCACACAGGACTGTCTTCAGCCTCACCAGGGTCTGCCCTGGCTCAGTGATGATTTATCTGCACGATGCTTAATGGCCCAGGCAGCGTGGCTGGCCTGGCGTGCACCATCCATCAGCCTGGAAACCAGGTCACTTGGGACAGGAATAGACGGTGCAGGTTCACTGAATATTAATGCTTCATTAGGGTCAGAAAATCAGGGCGGGGAGGGAGGCAGGGAAGCTGTGGTGGCAGGGAGAGCCTTCCTCACACCACTCCACTGGCACAGCAGGCAGGGACGGACAGAGGGACAGACACAGGGACATGGCTCTGCTGTGCCCTGCCCGGGATGGGCTGTGTGGCCTTGAGGCAGTGTGAAGCATTCAGGGTCCTTCTCCAGGCAGGAAAAAAACAATGTATGGGGAAAACCAACCTGCCCAGGTTACAGAGCATCAAGCCCGAGGTGTTAACAAGTGGCCTTTGCTGGTAGGGGCAGGAGTCATCTCCAGGGCATCTTCCTGGCAGGCTCGTTAGGGCTGGCACGTTAACGAGTACCTGGGAAGCCAAGGGTGCAGTAAGGTTACCCAGGCAGCCCTGGCTGTCACCTTTACAGGCTTGGTTTTGCAAAACGAAGGGTAATCATTAAAGATTAGCCCCAGGGCTATAAATAATAGTGCTGAGCTGGAAGGAGCAGTCTCACAGCAAAGGATTGCTCAGAGGAGAGCAAAGCTGGAGGCGCTCGGAGGAGGATAGTAGGAGCTGGGTTCAAAGGAGGTGGCTCTTCAAGCAGCAGGAGGATGTCCTGGGTGCCAAAGGTCTGTACTAGATCAAGAGCCTGGACAAGGATGTTAAATAAGCTTTAAATAAGGAGCCTCAGCCCTTGTGGTGGCTGGGAGAGCACTCAGCAGAACATCTCGTGGGCTGGTCCTGCTCCAGCACCTCTCTGGGCTTTTACAGCTCGGTCCTTGGCTGCCAGGGCTGTGAGTCTGAACCAGCTGGTCTCGTTTCAAAGCTGATGTGAGAGCTCAGTATCATCTGTGTAACTCCCCAGGGGAGACTGAGGCACTGAGCAAAGCCATGACCACCTGAGCCCCTGGCTTTGCTCTCTGCACTCCCCCAGCTCCCGTCTCCATGTGCACAGCCCGGTGATACAGCCCAGTCCCCAAGGAGAACTGCCTGATGGACAGGCTGGTGGGATTACAGACAAAGGCAAGCATGTGCTGGGCAGGGAGGGATAATTGGAGCAGCACAAGCTGGTCTTGAGCCGCTGAGCACAGCTAATGGGTGAGATGCTGGCAGCAGGCTCTGGTGTGGAGCACTGCCTGCTCGCGGAGCAGGGACACACAGGGAATTATCCCCACTCGCTTCTCTCTTTTCCTTCCTTCTCCCCCTTCCCACGGTTGGGTGGGTGGTTGAAAGACTGTTCCTGCCCTTAGGGCATGGCCAAAGCAGGAGTCACTTGGAGAGGACCCAGAAAGCCATGGCTGTGGTGCAGAGGCCTGCTTGAGCGATCGCCCGTGATGAGGAGGAGGGTGCCTCGTGTGTAGTTTCGCTCCAAGACATTTTTAATTGGGTTAAACAGCCCATGGCCTGCCTGTGGCCAAGGATGCCAACACGTGCTGCTCTCAGATCTGGTCTGGACCTGGGAGCATCCCTGCACTCAGGCACTGTCCAGGCTACCAAGGGACTGATGCTGGGGGGGCTGCACTTCTCCACCAGTGTCCAGGAGCATCCTGGCTGCACACCTCTGGGACGGGAAGGGTGGAGCAGCACACATCAGGTTTCCAAGGGCAAATCTCCCTTGAGAAGCAAACACCTGGGCTGGTGTGGTGCTGGGCACCCTCCAGGCATGGCCCCATCCATTATGATTCCCTTCAGAGCATCTGGATGGCCACATCCCCCATGGTGCCATGTCCTACATGTGCCCCAAGAGCAAAGGAGAGGCTCCCTGTGGGGTTTGATGCTGCTCCTGGGGCTGATGGCACAGCTGGACCAGGGAGGTGAAGACAACAGGGAGAGATTGGGCAGGGGCTCCTAGGACCCTAGTCCAGCTGCCAGGCCTCTGCCAAGCCCTGCCTACAGCCCTGGTAGTCAATGGCAACCTCACGCTGGTTTCCATGGCAGTGCGAAAAATTAATGCTGACGAAGTCACTCACTCAGGAGAGGAGACCCTGATGGCTCAAGGCATGATGTCCCCCCCACCCCCTCACCTGGCCCGGTGGGGACATCAACCATCAGCTGCCTGAAGCTCCTATGCTGAGCAGGTGGCACTCTGGGGCACCAGCCTCACAGCCTAGATTATCCTGGGCAGCTCCCACCTGAATTCCCAAGCTTCCTGACAACTCCTCTTACCCTTATCCAGCCCCACCACCCACCTGGGCCGATCCAGCCTCCAGCTCAGCCCCAGCTCTTGGGCAATGACAAAAGGGGCTCCGAATACTGCCGAGGCTGGATCCTGCAGGGAGATGGTGGCCCGAGCCTTGTGGTGTCCCTGTGCCAGCCCCGTGGGCATCTCTGCAGGGACTGGAGCCCCAGAAAGACCCTGAGAAGACCCCCACCGCTTTGTTGTGTGTGGACCTCAAGGGATGTGACCAAGTCCCCTGGGAACGCTGTGGTGGAGGGGATGTCCCCCGGCCGCTGTGGCTGAATTGGGAGTTCTCCCCAGCCGGTGGAAGGCAGGGAATGGGTATCCCCAAATTAATTCCGCGCTTCCTTCTTTGGCAGCGTGATAGAAAACCACCACGGGGCGGATGGGGAGGAGTACGCGGTGGAGTATCCCGACTACGGCGAGGGCTGCCTGCTGCAGTGCGACTGTTCGGCCGAGTGCTACCGCGAGGACAGCGGCCACCGCGAGTACAGGTCCGCGGGAATTTCGGGAATCGGGCGTGCACGGTGTCCCCGAGCAAGGATACAGAGGTGTCCCTTCTTCCCCCGACCCTGTCTGCCGTCTCCCACAGGCTGAAGAGGCGCTCGAGCAGCTCTACCTCTCCTCCCCCCAAGAAGAAAAAGAAGAAGAAATCGGGTCACCGCCGGAGCCGGTGAGTCCCCGGCTGTCCCTGCGCTGTCCCCTCTCCCAGGAGGGCAGCTCTGCTCCCAGTTCGACCTTTCCCCAGGCTCTGATGGGGCAAGTCCCTCCACTTTGGTGGTCAGTGCCCCTCCAAACATGCACCCTGGAGAGGTTCAGTGCATCTGCATGTGCTGATATTGCAACACGCACACGTGTGCACACACCTCCTGCATGCACCGGTCCTTGTGGGGAAGGAGCTGGCTGCTGCGGGGCACAGCAGGATTTGGCTCTGTGAAGGGTCTGGCTCCATCTGCCCGCTGGTCCCCTCCCTGGTTAGCACTGGCTGCCTGGGCAGATGCTGTCCCTAATGTCCCTTTTTTCTTTGCCTTTCCCATGGCAGCAAAAAGAGGAAACCTGGCTCGGAGCGCAGGTGAGTGTTCACTGGGCTGTGTGGGCTGTGGGGTCCCTGCTGGGATTGCAAACCCCAGGGGCATGGTCTGGCCTCCACAACCCACTGTCCCCCTCTGAAATCCCAGTGGGAATTGGCCACCTTGTCTCCTGCTGGAGGCTGTGGAGCCCATGAGGTGGCAATGAGACACAGCAGGATTTGGGCATTCTGGCATCAAAGGTAGCCAGAGCCCTTCTGCCAGAAGGCCCTTTCTGTCACCCACCCCAAATCCCCCAGGGAATAACTTCCATGAGATGTTCACGCATCCCATGGGGTGTTCCATGGGAAGTGGAGGGGGGGGTATTGGGGATGGGATGCCACTGGGCAATGGGGATGGGGCTGGGGAGTCCCTTGCTGCCCCCTCAAGGGCACCCACTTCCCCCCCAGCTGCGACAGCTCTTCACCCATCCGCAAGGAAAAGAAAAAGAAGACTGGAAAGAAACACAGACGTGACAGGTAGGATGGACACCATGGCAGGCTGGAGACACCAGGCATGACTGGGGACCATGGGGCTGTTTGGTGACTGCCCAGGCCCTTGGGCTGGGGTGGGATTGAGGCATGGATAGGGATGGAGGCTGATGACTCTTTATGGAGCCATCACCACCTCACAGCCACTGTCACCTGCCCAATCTAGCAGCCCATCTTGGGGCCACACCCCTGTCCTTGTCCCCATCTCCTGGGGCTGCCCAGTTGACTAGCTCAGTGTGTCTCCTTCATCTCTGCCTCCTCTTCATCCCTCAGATCTGAGTCAGGGTCACGGAAGAAGAGAAGACACAGGTAAGAGTGAAGGCTGCTGAGAGCCACCCCAGTGCCACCAGCACTGGCTGTCAGCTTCCCCTGTCAGAGACCCCCCATTCCCTGCCTTCCTGCTGTCCCCCTCCCCTCTGCTCATGGGGATGGACCTCCTCCTCCCATGGCTGGACACTGCTGGGTGTCCTCCACCCTTGGGCATGGCACAGGGCCACTCTGGGTGACTGTGGGGTCCCACATGACCCCAATGCCCCCTAGGGAAGAAGGGGATTCCAGGCAGCCATGGCCAGGACAAACCCTGGCTGTTGCCCTGCTCTGCAGATGCCTTCTGGCAGCACTGCTATTCTAGGGTGAAAGAGGTGAAAAACAGACAAAGGGTGTCTGGGAGTGCAGAGGGTCTCAGAGGGGACTAACGTAGAACAAGGCAAGTGTAGGGGTGACCACAGGCCCAAGCCCAGAGGATGCTGAGCAGAGCCAGTGCCCCACTTCCCACTGCCACCCCCTCCTGCCTGGCCTCACCAATGGGCACCTGACCCCATGGTCCTAAGCCATCTGGGATCCCCTCCGTGCTTTGAATCTCAATGGATCCCAGCTCCAGAGCAGGCAGGTCGGTCCCCTCGTTCCTCCTGCAGCCTGGGTGCCTCTGGGGGCGGCTGGAGAAGCCACCCCCACGCCCCCCCCCAAAGTGCTTCCCCTGCTCCCACGCCTGCAGCTTCCGGCTCTTCCCGCAGGTCCCGAAGCCCCAAGAACAAACGGAAAGAGAAAAACAAAGAGCGCAAGAGGTGAGGGGCCGGGCCGGTCGGGGGAGCGGGGTGCTGTGCCCCCCTCTGCGTGCCCCAGGGGGGACTCAGCCTCCCCCCGCGGCCCCCGGCCGCCCTCTCCGCAGGTCCCGCAGCGAGTCCCCGGCCTGGCGCTCGCACCGGCGCAGCTCCTGCAGCTCCCACAGCGCCTCCCTCTCCTCCGACGACAGCGGCTCCAAATCCCCCGGCAGGTAGGGACAGCTCGGGACAACCCACGACAAACAGACCCCCAGCCTCCGCGATGTGGGCTGGAGGACAGGGATGTCTGTGTGGTGGAGGGCAGGAGGTGGGTGGCAGAGGTGTCCCAGGGATATGGACCCTTTGGGGGGATGGAGGGGAACAGGATCGTGCTGCAGCACCTCCGGAGGGTTTGGGAACGTCCCAGGTGGGGTTTCGGTTTTTGACTAGAGAAAGCACAAAACATCAATTCTCACCTCACTTCTGGCTTTGGCAAAGCCTGCCCCGCAGCCTGGGCTGCTCTGCCAGGCCGGGCGGTGCCGGGCTCGGGTCTGGGGGTGCCGGCGGCTCACGGTGCGGTGCCCCGCAGGCTGAGCCCCAAGCGCCGGCAGGATGGTCCCAAGGGCAGCAGCGCCCGCTCCAGCCGCAGCCCGTCCTCGCCCTCGCCCCAGCGCTCGGCCTCGCCGCACCAGAACGGGCACAAGGGCAGCGCCCAGAACGGCCGCCACAGCCACGGTGCCCCGCTCCCGGAGCCCTCGGATGTACGTAGGCTTTTCTTGGATCACTCTTCGCTTCCCTCCCCTCCTCCCTCCACAGGACTGCCCCCCTGCTCTCCTCTCCGCTCCTTCCCCACTCGGTCGGCTCCCCGCCCTGCCCAGCCGGGGCACACGGGGGAGATGCACTCACCAACCCTGCACTGGGTGCACGGTCTCCCTGGGGGAGCCAGCCCGTCATCTCGGGGCAAGGATCAGGGCAGCCAGCAAATCATCCCTCCCCCAAAGCCGCACATTGCCCTGCAGATGTCACCCCCGAGACGATGGCTTGGCAGGCCAGCGACACTGCCAAGGTCACCACTGGGCTCAGCACCTACTTGAGATTGAGCCCAGACAGGCAAGAAATGGGTAAAGCTGGAAAACTCATTTCCCCACCAGCCCAAACTCTCTATAGTGCCAAGGGGCCGACACCAGTGCTCAGGACTCCAACACCCAGTCTGGCCAGGGTAGGGTTCGGAGGGGATTTGGTGCTGGATGCTCAGATTTTAGGGTCCCCATGGCAGGTGACACTGGGGCTAAGTGTCCCTGGCTCTGCCTCGTTGTCTTGGGGGTCACAGTGAAACCTGGGGGGCTGCTCCTGTGCTGAGTGGACAAAACACTAATCCTGTGGGACAGAGGGCCAGTCCCAGTTTAACCAGTGCCGGGATGGCAAGGAGCCTGCTTTGGCTAACAGGGACTGGAGGCAGAGCTGAGTGAAAGCAGCGTGCTGCATGACCCCACTACTGGGGGGCACACAGGTCCCCACTTGCCTCAGGGGACTTCATTCCCATGGGCGAGGTGCTGTGGGGACACCGCAGGCTGGCAGCACCCAGTACTGACACCCCAACACCTGCAGGGCCAGGGGCACCCAGGAAAACGGGGCCAGGAGCCCCCCACCCCATATCCACATCCCCTTCACTCTCCCCAGCCCGGCACCCCCCAGCAGCACCCAGCACCCAGCCCATCTCTTGGAGCACCTCTCTGCTTTCTTCTTTCCTGTGGTTTTGGCTGGGGTGTGGGGGGGTTCGGGAGCCCCCCAGGCACCCGGCTCGCCCCGCTCTCCCCCTGCCCACCCCCAGCATCGCCCAGGCCGACGAGCTCCCTTGGCTCCCCGGCACCAGCGGGACTTTTCTCCAACAACTTTCTCTCTTTCTCTCTCTCTCTCTCTCTCTCTCCTTTCTCTCTCTGGTTTCTATTTTTTATTTTTTTTTCTTTTTAATCCCATCTGTGTTTTTCTTTAGCCTCCCATTTGAAAAAAACCCAAACGGTAATATACACTTCCATTTCTTGCTCAGCAGAAGCAGGGACGAGGGGGAGGGAAGGGCAATGAAACGTGCTTTTTTTTTTTCCCGCCCCCTTGTTTTAGTTTCCTTTCTCATGATTTCTTTTCTTTTCCCTTGTGATGTACAGAAATGCAAACGATATATATTTCTCTTATTTTCATTTTTTCCCCTCCCCGTCGTCGTTGTGTTGTTCTAGAATTTTTTGCTTTTGTGTGTGTTAATGTGGAGAAGAAAAAACAAACAAACAACAAACCCAAAACCAAAAACCAGATGTGTTTTCTAAATATTTACGACCGCTGAACATTGTATTTCCATTTTCTGTATTTTGAACAAGGAATTTAAAAGGGAAGAGAACCCAGCAGCCCTCCACTGCAAAGGGAATGGGCTTGTTTCCATCTCATGAAGCAAATTGCCCTTTTCCTCCTCAAATTGGCTACTGTCCCATGTCCTCAGCTGGATCCTGCTGCCTGGGGATGTTTTTCCTCCCTGGCTGCAGGATGAGGCTGCTGGGTGCTGGGTTATCTGAGCACCCCGAAATCATCCCACACCCAGGTATCCATATCCTGCATCCCGGCAGGATGAGTGCTGAGCATCCTTGGTACCTGGACCCCTCCCCATCTCCTGCAGACCCCCAAAAGCTCTGGGCTCAGCCCCAGGTGAGCTCTGTCCCCTCCCAGCACCCTCAGAGCCACCAGGAGCAAGGGATGGCCTGGGGCACTGCGTGGTGTTCCCTTCCCTTTTAAATACCCAGTCCTGTCTCCATCCATCCCTGCTGCCTTCCCAGCCTTCCTCCCAGGTCTCTCCTCCTCCTCCTCCTTGCCCACACACACCCTCCAGCCCCTCTTTCTCTCCGGTTTTCTTTGGGCCAACACCACCCAACATCCCTCGCCGTGTCCCACCTCCATCCATTGCCTTCCCTGCATGTTATCCGGGACTTTGCCATGTTGTAGAGTGACTTTTTTAAGACTGAACTGCAGCCGGGTTACAGACACCAGCCAGCAACTCCCCCCGTGGCCACCCCACTCGGGGGCCAGCCACAGCCTTTCCATTGAAAAACAAACAAAAAAGTTTACAAAAAAAAAAACCAAACTAAAGAGACCGATTTAAAAAAAATAATTAAAAAAAACTCTAAGCAGAGCAAACGGGATTAGCCGAGGGGTCTGGATCACCGTACTAAAGAGTCCTTGTCTTTTTCCCATTCTGCCCTCCAAATGTGGAGATTATTGTTTTCTTTTTTTATTATTGCATTCCTGTCACTGCCAATTCCGAAGGTAGGTATTTCGTCCACCTCTGCACGTTCACTTCTGCAGATGAGCCTGTTGAAAAGCACCGTAGCTTGATTTAATGTTATTTTCTCTTTCTTTCTGACTTTCTTTCTCTTTCTTTCTTGCTCTCCTTCTCTGTCTCTCTTTCATTTTGTCTCTTTTTGGTGGCTATATATGATTTTTTTTTTTTTTGATTTGTATGGTTTTCCCCAGTTAGCTGCAAAGCCATGCTCTTCTCTTATGTTCTTTATTTATATATTTTTTTGCCCTGTCCACGTAATATTTTTTTCTTTCTTCCCTCCTTTTCTCTTCCCCGTCTCCTCGTGCTGTCGGTAGAATGCATTTCTGTGTCTTTCAGCCCTCTGAATTTGTGTTTGTTTCCATGCAGGGGCTGCTCCCTTTGAGTCCCTCCTTAGTAGCCCAGTAATGAAGGCAAACGTAATTAGTGAGAAATAGGGGCAGTGGCCAGGGTGGGAGTGGGCACAGGAGGGGTTGGGTTGAATGGATGGGGCAAGACGTGAGAAATTTGGGGAGATGTGTGGGTTTACCCCCTCTTTGGGTCTTGATGGGGAAAAAAACCCCAGCTCAGGGAAAATACTGGGAGGCTACAATGGGGAAAGGTTGAAATCTTTGTCTATGGAGAGGCAGGTCCAGGGCATCGCGTTCCCCAGGAGCAGGGGATGGCATCGCAGCCCTGGATGTCCCATCCCCTCAAGTGCCCAGTGTGTGTTTTCCCTTTTGGGCTGGGTCTTTGCCGATTTGGGTTTATTTGGGATGCTTTTACCTTCATTGCCTTCCTGCACGCCTGGGCAGGAGGCTGCAGGGTTTGGGTGGGAGCCCCACATCCCACAGCATGGCCAGCTGGCACCAAAATGCTGCCCTGGGAAAGAGGAAAGCCCTTTCTTTCTCTCTTCATCTTCCTCTTCTTCTACTTCATCTTCTCTGCTTTTATTTTCCTCTGCTGGGACACGGGGCTGGGAATGGGCTCAGCTGAACCCCCTGTTCTTTCCCCCCTCACTGCAGCCATTGCAACAGCAACAGATTTTTAATAAAAAGCCCAAATCTTCACATTTTGGCTCCAGCTTGCTGCTCTGTGGCTGGAGGCATTAGCTTATCCAAGGGGACAAAAAGGTGGGGTGTGGAGCAGTCTGGGATGCTCAGGGATGCAAATGGTCTTGCGACCCTTTTGCAGTGTCTTTGTGGTGGTTCCCAGAATCCCACCCCTTCCCGCTTCCTGCTTGGTTTTGGGGGAGAAAAGTGGTGTCTAGGACACAGTGGGGCAGGTAGAGAGAACCTCATCCTCAAGGATTCATCAGAGGTATTTGGGGCATGGGTATGGCAGGGAATTGGGGTCAGAGGCCCTAGGTGTGGTGGCACCATCCCAATCCCCCTGAATCCTCTTCAGTCCCCTTGGCTGGACTCCCTGTGCAGGATTCACCCTTCCAGGGAGACTCAGGGACCTGGTGTTGGGCTGTGGCTGGGGAAAGGAGACCCTAAAGCCAGGGGTTTGTCGGCTTGGTCAGGGCTGGTGGTGCAGGAGCTGTTTCCACCTATCTTTTTGGTCTAGTGATGTTTGCAAAGATGGGGAAAACACCCAGGCAGTGTTTGTGGCTCAGAGGAGCTCAGATATTTGGGAGCCACAAGGCCAGGTAAAACCCCTTCAGCTCTTGGTGAGAGCCTGGCTCGGCGCTTGGCCATGGTGGTGGCCCAGGGTTACCCCTCCCTGTAGGAGAAGTGAGTTGGTTTGTTTTATTTCTCCTCTCTCTGGCTCTGTCTCTGTCTCTCCTCCTTCTCTCGCTCTTTCTTTCTCTCTTGCATTTTTGTGAATCTAATGATGCACTTATATTGCCCCGCTTTTCCCTTCTCTTCATACCTTACCTACTAAAGGAGGAAATGCCACTTTTTTGGTAAGTGGATGTTAACCAAGAGGGACTTAAAAAAAAAAAAAAGCATATAATGGAAAAAAAAAAAAAGGAAGCAGAAAGCAAAGTCTGTGTTGAGTGCTGATGAGGACTTAGCAGTTCCCTGCAGAGTCACAGCTAACAGCTCAATGCGTGTCCCAGGAAGAGCTCAGAGACATTCGTTTATCTCAGTAACGAGGACATTTGTGAAGTTTTGCTTTGTTTTTTTTTTTTTAATTTTTTTAAAAAATTTTATTCATTTATTTATTTATTTTTAATTTGATTTGGATGGTTTTTCTTCTTTCTTTTTCTGTTGGTTTCTTTTTTTGCCTTCTCGTCCCCGGCCCCCCTCCCCTGCCTTGCCCTCCATTGTCGCTCTGTGCCGTTTTTTCCTCGTTTCTGGATTTGTTTTAAGCCGAAAGCCGTACTATCGATAAAAACTACACGTATCAGAACATATATCTCTATATATGTGCATGCCTCTGTGTGAGCAGACCCCATCACCTCCAGCCCTCTTTGGTTCGACCCCTTCCCCTCGGCTCAGTCTGATTTACTCTCCCCCACCTCCCCTCTTCCCTCCTCTCATCTTTTCTTTTCCCTCCCCCATTTTCCTCCCTTCGTTTGGGTTTTACCCCCATTTTCCTTCCCCCTTTCTTGGTCGGGGTGGGCGGGCACCAGGGTTTGCTTTATCCCCTCTCCAGGTGTTTCTTTTTTCTTTCGGGGGGCGGGAGGGGGTTGTTTCTTTCCCTTCAAGCTCTCCCTCCCCGACGACTTGGGGGTTTTTCTTGGATTTATTTATTTTCCTCCCATCCCACCCTTTCCTTTGGGTTTTTTATTACGATTTGAGTTGAGTTATAATTTTTTGGCGTTTTGCATGCGGAGGTTTGCATGACCCACGTTGTTGAGGGCGAGAGGAAGGTGCAGAGTAGCGTCTGTGTAGCCTGCCTTATGCGATGTGCATTGACGTTGTGATCTGCGCCCCCGACCCGGCGCCCCCCGTTAAAATCCCCTTTCTCCTTCTTTCTTCTCTTCTTCCCCCCCTTCTTCCTTTCCCTCCTTCTCTCTCTCTCTCTCTCTCTCCCCCTCTGCCAGAGGCCAGCCTCGGCGTCCCCTCTCCGCGGGCTCATGGCAGGACGGAGCCGCTGTCCCCCCGCGCCCGGGGGGGCCGACACGGTGCCCGCAGCCCCCGGTCACCCACGCCGGAGCGGGGCAAGCACGGCCACCGGCATCGCTCCCGCAGTGCCTCGCCGCCCTCCCGACACCGCGGCCAGAGCAAGGGGCGGCCCCCGGCCCCCCGGGAGCCCCCGCCGGCGCCGCTCAGCCCCCCCGGCTACAGCAGCGACTCGGAGGGCTCGGCGGGATCACACCCCTACCACCCGCCGGCCGGCCCCGACAGGAACCACGGCGCACACGGGAAGAAGTAAGGGAAGAACCTCGGGATGGGGTCGCGTTATCACTGGTGGGATACGGGAGCTGTGCTGTGGTATTTGGGGTGCAGCCCCGTGTGGGCACCTTGAGTCCATCCAAGGAAAGCTCTGGGGGGCAAGCTGGGGACCAGGGCTGGGTTGGGATGCTCAGGGAATGGGGATGGAGATGGGGACGTGGATGGGGACGAGAAGGGGAATGGGGACAGAGATGGGGACAGGAATTGGCACAGACGTGGGATAATGATGGAGATGGGGGAGGAGGAGGAAGGGGATCTGGAAAGAAAGAAAGAAATTTGTGTTTGGGTTCGGGTTGGGGACAGGGGTTAGGTTGCAGATGGGAACAGGAACAGAGATAGGGAAGAGCCACAGTGGGTCAGTGCTAGAGAGAAGAATCATCCCTGCAAGGGTTTATCCCAGCTCAAAGGGCAGTGTGTGGATGGCTGTGTGGAATTACAGCATCCCACAGGATGCAGGATCCCAAGTGCATGAGTGCCCCATGCTTTATAACCAGAGATGTAGCCCAGCCAAAAACTGGCATCGTGCCCACTGTTCTCTTTGGGAACCTGGGATCTCTGGCTCCCTTGGGGACATCCTGCCAGCCAGGATGAGGCATGAGGCAATCCTGGGATCTGCCTTCACAGGATAAAGGAGAGGCACCACCGGGGCCGGCCCAACAGCAGCTCGGAGTCGTCGGCCAAGCACTCCCGGCACACGTCGGAGCGCAGGAAGAGCCCGTCACCCAGCCCCGGCCAGCGCAGCAGCTCCTGGAGCTCCAGCGGCTCCCTCTCCAAGTCCCGCTCCCGCTCCCGGGAGAAGAGAGCAGGACGCAGCCGCTCCCGATCACCCTCGCCGAAAAAACCCGCCAGCAGGTCAGGCCCAGCGGGGACTTCAGCCCAGGGGACGCCACGGGTACCATCAGTGGGCTCAGGGGACACCATGCGTGCCATCAGTGGGCTCAGGGGACACCACGCGTGCCATCAGGGGGCTCAGGGAGCATCTGCGGCTCAGGGTGGTCCCGGCTCTCCTGGGGTTTGGGGAGGGGTCTCAGGTCATTGGTGGTGGCACTGGAAGGACCAGCTCCAGGTGACAGTGCCAGCTGCCGCAGGGAGCTGCTGTCACAGGGTGTCCCTGGATCCCCCCAGGACCCCAGCCCTCTCCCTGACACTCCTCCTCCTCCTCCTCGGGGTGTAGAGAGAAGGACAACGAGCCCCGAACACGTCACGGTGATCCTGATCCTGCCCGCGCCCGGCGCCGCTCCAGGAGCTACTCCCCAATTAGGAAGAGGAGACGTGACTCCCCCAGCTTCATGGAGCCCAGGAGGATCACGAGGTGAGTCCTGGCACGTGCCAAAGGCTCTGCCACGTCCATTGGCACGTCCCAGGGCTGAGCTCTGCCGTGAGCTGGCCCTGAAGTGTGCGTGTGTGGGGGAACGGACAGGCAACAGATGGGTGGATGGACAAATGGACGGATGAGGGAATGAAAGGATGGATGGATAGATAGATGGATGAATGGATGGACAGGTGGATGGATGGATGGACGGGAGGACGGACGGACAGACGGATGGATGGATGAATGGACGGACAGATATACATATGGATAGATGGATGCACAAATGGATGGGTGGATGGATGAATGGTGGGTGAATGGGTGGGTGGGTGGATAGACGTGCAGATGGATGGATGGGTGGACGGATGGACAAAGGATGAGCAGCTCTGCAGATGGAGAGATAACCCTGAGGGTGACCGGGTGAATCAGCTGGCCCAGACAGCTGGATAACCAGACTGCCTCCAATACTACGACCTTCTGATCTCTTCCTATTTCAAGGCACGAAAACAGGAATTAATTTTAATCCGGCTGTGCATATTCCAGAAAGACGCACATCCGCAATCACATCTCTCCCCTGCCCTCCAAAAGCTGGTTTCTCCTCCTTGGGATCCTGTTGCCTCAGGATCCTGAGCTGTAAGACAGGCAATATTTCGTGCCAGACAAAACACCGTGTGCATATGTAGCACCTCGTTAACATGCAGCGCTGGCAGTGGGGCCGTGCCGAGCCGAGATTACCTCCTTCCTGACCTATTTGTCTCTCCTGCTATCAGCTGGGAGATCAGGGGGCTGGATTTTCAGAAATCAGCTCTGCCTCACTGTGGGAGGGATTTTGTTTTGCCTGGGCTGGACTGGAGTTGTCAGGAGGGAGGACAGGAGGAAGGACAGGAGCAATACTGCAGAGCCCATGGGTTAGGGCTCCCTGCAGCTCTTCCCAATGTATGCCCTGGAAAGAAAAGGGGCTGGGAAATCTGCTCCCAGCCCAGAGGAAGGTTTTCCCCAGCCCAGGTACCACTGTTTGGTTTTCCGTCCCTCCTGCTCCATCCTGGTTTTGCTGAGATGTCCCCAGGGAGATGGCAGGGCTCAGTTGGAGGACACAGCCTGCAATCCCTGTGAGGACTCTCCCCCCTATCCCTGCCACCGTCCCTGCCATGGATGGGGATGGCAGACCCAAATCTGCTTGGGATTCAGGAGGAGCAGAGCCATTCCTACAAGGCCTAGAGGATGCTGTGGGGAAGGGGCAGCTGGGGGAACGTCCCCATAGTCCAGCCAGAACTCCCAGGGCTTTTCCTTGCCCTCCTGCCCTGTCCCCAGTTCCCATCATCATCCCCACCACCACCTCCATGGTCCTACCTCAGTGATGCCAACCTCTCCTTTTCCATTTCATCCCAAGGTCCCTCTCGGAGAGCATCGCCGCCAGCCTGGCTCCCAGGGTAACCTCCCCCCTTCCTCCTCCTTTTCCTCTTCCTCCTCCTCTTCCTCCCGGCCCCCTCTGTGCCTCCTCACACCTTAGGATGCCCTCGGTACCCGGCTGCCTTCAGGCCGTGCCTGTGGCTCTCTGGTCCCACTAACACCAGGCCGGGAGAGGGGGCAAGGGGCTGACTCCTGATGTCGCTGCCCCCCGTGCCCCCATTCCCACTGCCCCCGTGCTTCCCGTGTCCCTCCTCTCGCTCCGGCGCCGGCGGGGCCGCAGCTCGCCTCCCGCTAATCCCGAACGTCTCTTTTTCAGCAGCTTTCAATCTTTGGTGTCTGGGAAACACAAAGGCCACATTAACCTGCTCACTTTCTGCCCTCGACGCTGCCTAATCCAGGACTAACACCCCGGGGGGTGGGGGTGGGGGGCTGGGGAGGAGGAAGGGGATGGATGGTGGGGGAGGTGATGTCGGGTGGCCGCATCCTGACACCCCGCAGCCGGTCTGAGCCTGGTCGCGGGGATGCTCGGCTTCCCTGGGCGGATGCTTGGCCGTGCCAGAGGTCCAGTGCTGGACCCCTTCCCCGAGCTGCCGCCGGGGGCCTCACTCGGATCCCTTTTTCCATTTGTAGTGCTCGCAAGCGTCCCATTCCCTACTACCGGCCCAGCCCCTCGTCCTCCAGCTCGCTGAGCACCTACTCGTACAGCCGGAGCCGCAGCCGCAGCTACGACAGCTACAGCTCCAGCCGCAGCCGCAGCCGGACTCGCAGCCCCCCCAGCCGCTCCCGCAGCCCCAGCCGCAGCCCCAGCTACAACAGCCGCAGCAGCTCGGAGAGCGCCGGCTTCTGAGCCCCCCCGGCACCCGGCCGCAGCCCCCCGACACCCCAGCTCTGCCCCCTCCATGCCTCCTGCGCCCCCAGAAGGGACGGGACCACCGGAGAGGTGGAAAAGAGCCGGGGGATGCTAAGGATGGACCTGGCGGCGGGGGAAAGCACGGACGGACAGCGGAATGGGTCCTTGCATCGCCCATGGAAGGGGCGGTTCCCTCCCCGCGCCGGGGTGTTTTGGGGGTCGGGATGGGGAAGGGGAGGATGTCTTCTTATTTCTGCGAGTGCCGGGGCGGGGTCGGGTTGGGTGGGCGAGCACAGAGCGAGGGAACAAACGCTCAGCAGAGACTTTGGGGCGAGTGGGTAGGGGTGGCTGGGGGCCTCCCGGGACCCCTCCCTGTGCTTCTTTGGGTTGGTTTGACTGTTTTTTAGCACAAGAATATCGAGGGGAGAGGGGGCGTGGCAGGCTCAGCTGGAAGGTGTGATGCCAGCCAGAGGCGAGCCCCCGCTTTTCCCCACTGGAGGTGTCCCCACAGTGTCCTGGGGGCTGGGAGGCACCATGGGACACTCTGGGGTTCCCCCAGACCTGAGAACATGCCGAGCCATGGATGAACAAAGCCAGCAGCACCCACAAGTCTCTTCCCAAGAGGGAAGATCCAGCTCCCTGTGTGTTAATGCTGCCCATCCCAGCTCAGGAGCCGGCCCTGGCACCCATCCATCCCACCCAGTTTGGGGGGACAACAAGCTGTCACCCCCAGGAGGAGGGAGTTCTGAGGCCTAGGATTGGGCAGGGGGTTTCCCACCCCTGGGGGTGCATCCAGCCATCCTCTGGCTTTGGCATGGCCCCCACCTCTGGGCTGGCTGCCCCCAAGTCCCCCCTGTTCTGGGGCTAAGCAGCTGCTTTTTAAACTGAATTATGGAAAGAGAGAGGCAGGAGGGTCCCGGGCCTGGCCCGCGGCCCTGCTTTTGCAGGACTGTGCTGATTTCCCAAAAAAAAATAGCCCCCCCGGGCGCTGAGGACAGCCCTGGCCCCCCGGGGCGGTGTGTTGGTGTTTAATCCTCGTGGCCCTGCGTTTTCCGGACGGCTGGAGCAGGACAATGGGGATGAGCCTCCCTGGGTGGGAGAGCAGCTGCCCGGATTAACCCGCTGCCCCCGGCTGAAAAGCCAGGCTTTGGCCGTCCCGCTCGGCGCTGGTTTGCGCCAGGCGGGGCCGGGGCATCCTTTGGGCTCCGGCTCAGCTGTGATGCGACAGCCTCGTTAGCCGTGGCCTGATGAACCGGAGGTCTCGGGAGGGCAGAGCTGCGGGAGGAGGGACACTGTGGGCTCATCTCCCAAACCTGGAATGTTGAGGAACCAGGCCCAGCCACGGGCTGAGGATTCACCAGCCCTTGGAGAAAAATCCCAGGCCGTGAGGGGTGCCAGCCCTTGGGTATCCCACCCACCAGCTGGCAAAGCCACCAGCCACCCTCTGTGGTGCCCAGACAAGCAGAGCTGTTAGAAATGGGGTGAACAGGTGAGGAGGGGACTTGTGCACACGTGCCAGCCCCGGGGCAGGGCGGCAGCTCTGGATATCCGTGACTGGTAGGAGGAGGAGACAAAGGGTCCTGCTCCCCCTGGGCCTGGGGAGATTGGAGGACACGAGTTCCCTCAGCATCCCTACGAAACCCCTGAGCTCCGCTGTCCAAAACCACCCCGCCCATCTCCACCTGCTGCCGCAGCAGCCCCCGGGCCCCCCATGGCTCTGTCCCCACCACCGCCCCACGGGGAAGCTCAGACTGGGATACGGGGGGTGTCCCCTGAGACCATCCCAACCCAAGCCACCGGCAGGGGGGTTATTTTACCAGTGGCCGCAGCCCCAGCCCTGCAGCCCCCGGGGCCGCGGCTCCCGAAATCCCGAGACCCGCCTGCAGCGGCGCCGCGGACGAGCCAGCACATCAGGGAAAAATTCCAGTCTTCCTCTTTTACAGTCTCTGTCTCCTGCCGCGGAGGGAGCCAACTGGAACAAATACTCTGTAGAAATACTTCAGTATTTTCCTGTCGCGCGTGCGCTCTCTCTCTGGGTTGTGAGTACAGCTGTAGATGCCGTGAGCTGGTGCAATTATAATAAATATACAGTATATATTGTAAATGACTCTGCTGGGCACTGAGAGGTTTCTTCATGGGGGGAGAACAGCGGGGTTCTCCTGCTCTCTCCACGCAGGATTGGTCCGTCCAGCTCCCTGCAGAGCCTCCTCCTCCTCTCCCCTGTGCCCGCTGTCTCCAGCCGCCCTTGGCTCACTTTTCCCTCTGGCTCCGTGTGGAACAGCGCTGGGCACCAGTTGTGTGTCTGATCCCCCTGAGCATCCCGCTGTGGGGAGGGGGGAACCCTCTAAGAACCTCTCCCTCTGCATCTTTCCCGTCTCCATGCAGTCCCCTGGCTCCCTGCAGCCTTCCCTGCATCCCTCCCTTCGCCTGCAACCTCCCATCTGCATCCCACCCTGCATTCCTGCCTACATCCCTGCATCCCTCCCATCTCTCGCATTTCCCAGCATTCCTCCCTGCATTCCTGCCTGCATTCCTCCCATCCCTCCCACTTCCCAGCATCCCTCCCTGCCTCTTCCTCTGCATCCCTCCCTGCATCCCCTCCATTTCCCTGCATCTCCCGCCTCCCCAGTGCCCCCTTCCTTTCCCGGCTCCCCCCCAGCCCATCCCAGATCCCACAAGGCTCAGCTTCCTGAAGCCCCTTCCCACTCGCTGCCATTCCAGAGGGATGGGCTGGGCACTGCCCCAGACAAAGGACACTCCCAATTTCCCTCTGCAGCATCCCCCCCACATTCCTTACTCCCTGGGGTCACACATCCCTGCTCTGAGTGTCAGGGCTCAGCTGCCTCCCCCTACCTCCTCACTTCTCCAAATCAAAGCCGGGGACACAGCAGGACAGGGCAGAGGGGATGGGGTGCCAGAGGGGATGGGGTCCCAGAGGGGATGGGGTCCCAGAGGGGATGGGGTCCCAGAGCTGCCAGGCTTGCTGGGCTGGAAAACAGCCCTTCCCTGGCATGGGGGCATGGAGTCCTGTGTCCTGGAGATGCTCGTTTGGACATGAGGGCAAATGACTTAGGGAGGGAGCCCCCCTCTCCCAAACAGAGTGTTCTGTCGCCTCCAGCCCCCCCCCCAACTCCCTCCAGCACCCCCAGTCCCCTCCAATCCTCCTGGCCATCTCCAACCCCCCTAACCACATCATCACTATCAGCTCCTCTGCTCCCCACAGGCCCCATCAGATCCTATAAGTCCCCCCCCCACCTCCTACTGATTCCATTGGCCCCCAAGAGCCTCCTCAGCCCTGTGGCCCTCAGGGACCCCCACCCACAGGGGCTGGAGCAGCCTCACCCCAACTTGGTGCTGGGGGTTCCCCACCACAGTGCTGAGCCCTGGGGCCACTGAGGGCCTGGGGGGCTCTAGAACCTTCTGGCTGGTGAGTGACCAGGGGCTGGGGGCTCCAGAATCTTCTGGCTGGTGAGTGACCAGGGCCTGGGGGGCTCCAGAACCTTCTGGCTGGTGAGTGACCAGGGGCTGGGGGCTCCAGAATCTTCTGGCTGGTGAGTGACCAGGGCCTGGGGGGCTCCAGAACGTTCTGGCTGGCAGGTGACGCAGCGCAGGGCCATGCACGGCCTCCTCCACTGACTCATCCCGCCATTCCCGAGGCACTGGCCCAGCCCCAGCTCCCTCCCTACAGGGCCAGCGTGTCCCGGGGATTGTTTTACGGGCAGGCAGGCGGGAAGAGCCCGGGAGCCGCTCCAAGGGCCATCCATCACTCCCAACCAGCCAAGCCTTTCGCGATGAAAGGCGGACGGACACTTCCTTGGCAGGGGGACCCTGCAGGCTGCCAGCCCCCTCCCGCACTGCGGCTGCGTGTGGCCGCCCCAACCCCGGCAAAGTTTCTCGTCCCTTCGCTGGAGCTGCTGCGATTTCCATTAATAGCCAGCTGAGCCTCCCGGCTAAAAATAACCCCCGGCCCTCTTCATAAGGCACCGCCGGCCGGCCCCTGGGCAGCACCACACACCATGGCCGAGCGCCGCGTCCCCTTCACCTTCCTGCGCAGCCCCAGCTGGGACCCCTTCCGCGACTGGTACCATGGCAGCCGCCTCTTCGACCAGTCCTTCGGGATGCCCCACATCCCCGAGGATTGGTACAAGTGGCCGAGCGGCAGCGCCTGGCCGGGATATTTCCGCCTGCTGCCCCGGGAGAGCGCGCTGATGCCGGCCCCGGGCTCGCCCTTCGGGACGGCGCTGAGCCGCCAGCTCAGCAGCGGCATCTCCGAGATCCGCCAGACCGCCGACAGCTGGAAGGTCACCTTGGACGTCAACCACTTTGCACCCGAGGAGCTGGTGGTCAAGACCAAGGATAACATCGTGGAGATCACCGGTGGGTGCTGGGATGGGGGGGTCTGCGGGGGCTCTCGAGGGCGCTGGGGTGAGGCGGCTGCTCCAGAGCTTGCTGGGGGGAAAAGGGGGGGGAAGGCAACGTAGGGCAGGATAAGGGGTGGGAAGAGAGGGAAGGAAAAGCAAAAAGAGGAGATGGAGGGGACAGGTGGGAGGAGAGGAGAGGAAAAAGGGAAAGGGAAAGGGAAAGAAAAAGGGAAAATCAAGGCACAGAGGAAGGCCCAGCACTACAGCTCAGCCTTGGGGTGCATTCACATAGCACAGGGTACAGAGCACCCCCCAGCCCCATATACTGACCCCTCACTGTTGTCCCAGCCAGGACATGGGGAGAGACCCCCTGGCTGTGACCCACAGAGGGACCTGGGGGGTGATGAGCCCTGCAGACCAGGGTGGGTGACCAGCCCCACACTCCCTGCAGAACCCTGGGCAGCTCAGCCAGGGACGCCATGACAAAGTCCAGAGCTGTGGCACAAGGCCAGGATGTGCTTCCTGCTGGGCCAGGACGGTCTGCACAGACTGGGGGCAGTTCCCCAGCCAGAGGGATTTGGGGTGCAGCCCCAGGAACAGGGGGGTGCTCCGTCTCCAGCCTCACTGGCTGTGGGGCCAGGTGGCTGCTGTTGAGTCCCTTCGGCCACCACCAGCTCCTGGCACTGCACTTTGCTCCACTTGAATTTGGGGGATGCTCCCAGAGGGGCCTCACTGCCCCTGGTCCCCCACAGCTGCTTCAGGCTGATATTATGGCAGAAT